ATGAAATCTTTTCTTGTTTGTTGGGACAATAATGTGTACTTGAAAGTCTGAGCTTAGATTAGAAATCATAAATACTTAGAATTAAATAAATATACTTGTTTTTTAACTTAACTTTTATTGTTGACACTTTTAGATGTCCCCATCCCCCGTGTCCACCTCCATTTCCACCCACTTATACACACACACACACACACACACATACATACATATATGCTTGTATATAGCCCCAATTTTAGTTATCACAGTAGCCTGAAAGAATGAGTATGCTTTGAACTTATAACCAAGGAGAGAGTTGTTGCCTATCAAGAGGGAAATGGACACCAAGAGTAATTAACAGTTTTCTAAGTATTCTAAAAGAGGAATGTATTATGCATTAATATTTGCTAATTTGACATATTAATCTGTTTAAATATTAGGTATGACTTTATAATGTGTATCTTATTATTCATGTGACTAATTTCCTTTATCTTGAAAATTATATAGCCAAGTTTAAAATCTTTTTTAAAAATGTATATTTATTTATTTTTAGAGGGGAGGGAAAGAAACATCGATGTGCAAGAGATACATGGATCAATTGCCTCTCACATGCCCCCTACTAGAGACCTGGCCCACAACCCAGGCATGTGCCCTACTGGGAACCAAACCAGCAACCTTTCAGTTCAGAGGCCAGAGGTCAATCCACTGAGCCACACCAGCCAGGGCTAAAATTGTCTTAAAAGAAAATAATGATATCAAACAGGATTAATCAGAGCATAAAGCACATCTTTTAATTTATAAAAGAAAACCCAAAAGTCCTTAATGAAGTAGAACACATTTCAGAATGTGTTCAGACTTACTAAAAATGTTTATGTTTTAAAGACCTTGAAGCATCACTTACAAGTTTACTATTGTACAGTAAATTGATATTAAATGAAACTTGAAACACCACAAAGCCTTATTACTCAAGTTTGTCATTGGACCAGTAGGATCAGCATTACTGGGCAGCTTGTTAGAAATGCATATCTGAAACCCCAACCTTAAACTATTCAGTCAATTGGTATTTGACTAATAAGATCCCCAGGTTAATATGAAAGAATTACTGCCCTAAGGTAAAATTGTAATTATTACTTCCTAAGCTATACAGCATTACTTTGTATTTGTTCACATTAATAGTGACTGAGATATCTGAACAGTTTTAGAAAATTCAGTTTGCTATTTGAAAAATCTATCTCTATTTATGTACTATTTTTACCATGTATAAGGCACCCATGTTTTTGGCCCAAACTTTCAGGAAAAAAGCTTTTAATTTTTATATCAATAATTTATTTATGTTTACTTTTATTTTTTATTATAAAGGAATTTTAGCATTTAAGTATAATTTATTGATTATGCTATTACAGTTGCCTCACTTTTTTTCTTCCCTTTATCCTCCTCCCCATAGTACCCCCATTCCCTCCAGCAACCTCCTCCCTTTAGTTCATGCCCTTAAGTTCTTTCCCTTCTGTTTCCCATACTATTCTTAACCTCCCTGCCTATTTTGTACCTACCAATTATGCTTCTTATTCCCTGTATCTTTTCCTCCCATTCTTCCCCTCTCCCTCCCCGCTGAGAACTCTCCATGTTATCTCCGTTTTTATGATTCTGTTCCTGTTCTAGTTGTTTGCTTAGTTTGTTTTTGTTTTGGGTTCAGTTGTTGACAGTTGTTTGTTGTTTTACTATTCACATTTTTTATCTTCTTTTTCTTAAATAAGTCCCTTTAACATTTCATATAATAAGGACTTGGTGATGATGAACTCCTTTAACTTGACCTTATCTAGGAATCACTTTATCTGCCCTCCCATTCTAAATGATAACTTTGCAAAATAGAGTAATCTTGGATAGAGATCCTTGTCATTAATGATTTCAAATACTTCTTGCCAGCCCCTTCCTGCCTGCAAGGTTTCTTTTGAGAAATCAGCTGATAGTCTTATGGGAACTCCTTTGTAGGTAACTCTCCTTTTCTCTTGCTGCTTTTAAGATTCTCTCTTGATTTTTAATCTTGGGTAATGTAATTATGATGTGCCTTGGTGTGTGCTTGTTGGGTCCAACTTCTTTGAGACCCTCTGTGCTTCCTGGACTTCCTGGAAGTCTATTTCCTTCGCCAGATTGGGGAAGTTTTCCTTCATTATTTTTTCAAATAAGTTTTGAATTTCCTGCTCTTTCTTTTCTCTTTCTGGCACCCCTATCATTTGGATGTTGGAAAGTTTAAAGTTGTCCTAGAAGTTCCTCAGTTTCCTTTTTTTAATTTGTGTTTCTTCATTCTGTTTTGGTTGGATGTTTATTTCTTCCTTTTGCTCCAAATTGTTGATTTGAGTCCCCGTTTCCTTCCCTTCACTGTTGGTTCCCTGTATATTTTCTTTATTCACTTTGCATAGCCTTCACTTCTTCCTTTATTTTCCCTCAGTATTCAATCATTTCTCTGAGCTTCCTGATTACCAGTGTTTTGAACTCTGCATCTGATAGGTTGTCTATGTCCACATCGCTTAGTTCTTTTTCTGGAGTTGTGATCTGTTCTTTCATTTGGGCCATATTTCTTTGCCTTGGTGCACCTATTATGTCACTACGGGCAGGGCCTTAGGTTTTTGCCAGGGTAGGGCTACTCAAGTCCTTGCACTACAGCCCTGTCTATGGGGGAGGGGTCAGAGAGGTAACAATGCCGCTTGCTTGGCTCTCACCCCACTTTCAGTCACTTCTCCACTTCCTGCAAGCAATTCGCACCCTTGCAGTTGTTGGCCGGGTACTGATTTCCTGAGTGTGTGGGCTTGTGTGTTCTAGGACCCCATGAGCTCCTTCCACCAGGGGACTTTCCTGTGAGACTGGAAGCTTCTTCTGCTGCCATAACCCCCACAGAATTTTACAACCAGAGGTTCTGAGTCTTTATTTCCTGGTGCTGGAACCCTGGGTTGTATGGACTGTCTCACTTCCCAGTTACTTCTCCAGGTTTATCTACATGCAAATGTGGGACCTCCCAGTCCACCAGCTGCAGCCTTGCCCACTGTAGTCCTCCAGCCACCGCTGTGCCTGGTCCTCTCTGACCCCACTGCCCATCTCTAACCCTCCTATCTTTTTGGATGAATGTTTCTTCTTTAATTCCTTTGTTGTTGGTCTTTCATACAGTTTGATTTTCTGGCAGTTCTGGTTGTTTTTGTTTTTAAATTGGTTGCTAATCTTCTTTTGGTTGTGTGAGGAGGTGATCTGCCTACACCTCCATCTTGGCCAGAGCCCACATTGGTTCTGTATTCAACATATTTTTTATCCCTAGCATTTATTTTTGAACATATTATGGTGCAAGAAATTTTATGTAACAAATAATTACAAAACACAAGAACAGATACAAGGTTTTTCAGGTACTACCCCTGTATAATGCACATCCTCGTTTTTCCCTAAAAAATTTGGGCAAAATGTGCACATGATCCGTAGCAAAATATGGCATTTACATATGTAGATACCTAATACTATCCGACCTATATAGGTAGGCACTTAATGCATATTAATGGACAAAATAAAATGTATTGTTCCTAATTTTAAATGGCCATGTAATCAAAATTATGTATTTCATAATCTGAGTATGAAAAATTTAAATTTTAAAGAATCTTCTTTTTACAAATTTTCATAACTTTTAAAGGACTCAATGAACAACTTTTTATCCTAAACTGCTGAAGCCAGAATTCTCATAACTCCTAAACTCTGGTTTTCCGATGCAGTAAGACTTACCTTTGCCAAAACAGCTGGAACCTTGCATTAAACACACACACACACACACACACACACACACACACACCCTACTTACAGAAAATCTAACCTATTTAGATATCATAAGCACATGAATTTTTTCATGTTTTAAAACTCAGAAATAGAAAAAATCACACCTTAAGGAACAGAAGAATATCTGGGCATTTTCAGATTAATCTAATATACAATAATATAACAAAGGGAACCTAGTCTCGTGGATTGCTCTGCACAATGAGATAGTTTCCTGAGATTCTAAGGACCATCCCATGTACAATATCAAAATTTACTAAAGCAAATCAAACAGAATACTTTTCAGAATAGAGACCTATTAAACATGTTAAATACCTGTTGTAAAGGCCTTGAAACATCCATCATTTAAAATATCAAACTATTATTCTATAGTAAACTTATATTAATAAGAAGCTTGAACTACCACAGATCCTTATTATACAAGTTGGTCACTGGATCAGCAGGATCAGGATCTGAAGACAATTAAAAAATTCTGTGATAAAATTAGGATAGTTTCAAGCAACTTAATGCCAAATATTTGCTTACATAAAAAATCATTTGAATCTGAGGTTTTAGGGTAACTATAAAACAGAGGCAAATTATCTTTGATAATATTTACCTGAGTAACTGTCTTCTTTTAGGATGAGTAACCATTGTGAATAAATAATTTTAATAAAATATGTGGATTTAAAAAATTAGAATAACTTGAAAATAGAAAATTATTTTTTATCAAAAACTTAAGGGTAAGTCAATCATATACCTTGTACTAAAATCTATCAGGAACAACTATAAAGGACACATAGACAATACCAAAGGGTGCAGTATCGAGGGTGGGAGGTGGGGATGGCTGGGGTGGGAGGATTGTTGGGGATAAAATGGAGACAACTGTACTTGAACAACAATAAAAACATTATCACAATTTGGCCTATGTTACCTTTTGTTAAACTATTTATGTTACACAAAGAGTCTATCTTATATAAAGGTGACATTATTTTATAAAGATATACTAGGGACTTGTTTCTTTTGAAAGAAAACATTACAAACTGAAAATGGCAGGATATAAAAGAATCTAGACTCTAAAACAACTTACTTTGAATATCTTTTTGAAGCTTATTTTTCCATATTAGAGAGCACAGATGCAAACTATCAAACACCTACAAAAAATGGATGCTGTGATGTTAAGAGAAGAGGTAGAAAGAGAAAGAGAAATTTCACACTAATTTTTTTGTTCAACTTTATTTATCCACAGTTTGCATCGGTAATATACATTTAAATTACCATTTATTTTTAAATCCATCAGGAAAATCAGTCATGATAGATCTGTGACCAATACAAACATTTCTGAATTCTTCAAAAAATTCCATTAGAAAACTCAATAAACTAGTATCCTGTAAAGATAATTATTAAATAAATGGTAATGCATTCATTCTTTATTTCAATTCTAACTTATCCAACATCACTTCTTTTTTTGTGCCATACAGTAATAAATTTAGCAGATAGATATATACTGCATTTTTAGGGCCGAATAAAATATTTTGGTTTGATTATTTAACCCTCTTCAAATCACATAGCTAAGTCACATAATGATAATCATTCTTAATTCAATAACTGATAAAGTAAGTATATAATAACCATAAAAAGTTTTATACTTATTTAAAAACTACTAAAAGAAATACATCAGAGCCTTGATATAATGTGTCCTTGGGCACTATGCTGTGAAACTTCTCAGAGGTGGTGTTGCCTTTTGGCACTATGGTAAATAAACTGCCAGAGTTTGGACTTCAGACAGACCCATGCTAAATGGAATTTTGCTTTGTAGTAAAAAAATGCTACAGTGAGGTTCTGGTGCATTTTCTCTTGAAAGTAATAATTAGTTGACAAGTAAAATTCAATAAGAAAATGGCCTATAATTTCACTAATATTTCAATGGCACAAAACAGAAAGATACTTAGAAAATAATTAACACCTAGATTGATGAATAAGAGGAATCCTAGAGCATGTTAACTATGATAGCAGTATGACTGCTTTAGCTTTTAATGATCACTTTATTTGTAACATTATCAAATTTCTACAATAAAAACTGATAGCTGAAGTATTTATTTGCCATTTTTTTTTACCGTTATTACCTAAGTTTTTGCTAGGGAGATTATGTCAATGAAGTTTTTTTTTTTTTTTTTTTTTTGGATCCAACTGAAAAATAGTTACTAATTAGCTCAAATATTTAAAGTAATACATTACTAAAAATGTTTAGCCTATATAGTTATAAGAGCCTTTAATTCTTTAAAAGCTCCAATTTGGCCCTTGGGGGGTGTAAAAAACACATCTGTATTCTCAAGCTAAAATTTAATTATATGGCTTCATGCCAACTGATCCAAAAAAGCAGAGTTGTTTCTAAATCAGCCCTTATTAAATCATTTGGCACAATAGTTTTTGTCTTTTATATATACCCTTTGATACACCCAGGCCAACATATTTAATAAGTTGCATCCATTTTAAGAGGTAACAAGTGCAAATAATCACATATTTAAGATATGATACTTGCCTGGCTACTACAAAAGTAATTATACTGAGGTTCTTCTACAGGAAACAGAGTTATTCATTAGAGTAACGTTTTTTAAACATACCTGCACTACTACCAATGTAAATTTATCCACCTCTAAATTAAACAAGGACTTTACGTAACAGTATATTTGTGAAAACATTTACAGAATGGTCTGTGTTTAATTCAACATCATGTTAGTTGAGTATCATAAGATTTACAGGATCCACAAATGACCACATTTTGAATAAAAACCTATTCCTCAATTGTTACTCTCTGAATCTAACTAAAGGGAGCACATGGATGCAATGTTCCTGAAAGTAAAAGCATAAAGCAAATGTTGGCAGCTTTTTCAAAATGTCCTTGATAATTAGTACTTTGCTAGTTCTCAAAAACCTTACTGCTTTGTGTAACATTTTCAATACAGACATAAAATACTCTTCAAACAATACATTTTAAAAGATGATTAAGTTTTCCAAAATTAAATAGCATAAATTAAGCATATTAATATTGTTTTTTGACAACATGAAATAACCAATTTAAGGAAAATTGCAATGGACTAAGTAAAAAACCCACAAATATCACAATGTGAGTCACATTTAAATCCTCACATATTACTGACATCACATAATCTACTAAAATATTTTAAAGTTTCACTGACTCCATAACACATTAAAACAAATTGCAAAAATGTTTAAGACTAAATGAGTCATCAATTACACAGGCACTTCACATGTAAACAATCTACAGTACAACTGAAAATATTTTGGCAACAACCTATAATACTAAAACAATTCAATATAAAGTCATAGCTCTATATTTTCTACTCATTTTCTTCTAGAAAACTAAGAACAAAGATTAAAGAACTTCTGTATAAACTAGAATTAGAAGAGAATTGAATAACTCAGATATAGAATTATTTAAATAGGTCAAAAAGATTACCTTACCCAGACATTACTGGTATGCTATATTAAAAATTAAACCTAAAGCAATTATTAAACTGCAATAGTATTTTAAATTTACTGTCAATTTGAACTTCAAAAATAATCAAGGTTATCAGCTGACTAAGTAAAAAGAGAATTTGAATTTATCAAAAACTCTTAAGTTTTAGTCCAGTTTTCTTCCAAAGTAAGTTTGGGCTATTTAAAATTTAATACAACATAATTTTTTTAAAAACTAAGGCTTGATCTAATAAAATTATTTTTTATTAGATAGTCTTATTCATGAATTTGAGTAATTTGAAATCACTTCAAGTAAATGAAACTATACACTTATGATTTTTAAATGTTATATTAAGCTGTAGAAAGCTGAGATGCCTTGGTTGTAGGTAGTTCAAGAAGAGCCTGAACCGTGACACCGACTTTCACAAGACCTCTTTCTTCCAAAATATGATGAGGCAAACAGAGTCTTTCCTGAAAAAAAAAGTGATATCTCAACATTTGTTTTTAAATAATGCAATAAAGCCTAAATTAGTGAAAACAGGATTTTTTTAAACATGCTTTCTATAAAACTTCATGTGAAGAACACACAATTCTGCTCAATTCGAGTCTAAAATGTCTGCTTTTAAAAATAGAGACTTTTATGTTATAAGATTATTATTTTACAAGCTGTGTTTGATCTGACAATCTGCTTGCTCTACCTAAACAGATATTTTTAAGTGAACAGTCATGCTAAATGTTTCCCAAACTCTTTTGCTAGAACAGACAAAGCACTACAATTCCAGCCAGGAGATCTAAGGGCCATGTAATATGAAGTATTAAACTTTCCTGAGACTCAGTTTCTTCATCCTGAAGATGGAACTGTGTGAGAAACAAACAAAACAGCCTGTATGTAGAAGCACGTTGTACTCTGCTTCTTTTTATCAGTTCCAAGGTTCCATGATCTTTTATATATATGTACCACTTCAGTACTTCTCTTATCTTAAGGGTGCTTCCCTCCAGCTTCTAGTACTGTTGTGCTGCTTCTTATTTCCAATAGTCTAGAATTTGAACAATAACAACTGTCTCCTCTTCTAAGCACATCACATACATCATTTGATTCTCACAAGTCCATGAGAAAGAAGTTTAACGACACCTTTGCATTAGGTTTCATTAGCCTTCATTGATCCTCTTCTAACATCCTAAGGTTTTCAGAGGGTTCTATCTTCACTCTCTTCTCACTTTACACCAGGGGTGTGAAACTCATTTTCACTGGGGGCTATATCAGCCTTGCCGTTGCCTTCAAAGGGCTGAATGTAATTTCAACTCCTTAACAGTTAAGGAGTAGTAACACTTATACAGTCCTAAAATTATTTTGGCCCTTTGAAGGCAACCGTGAGGTTGATGTGGCTCTCTGTGAAAATGAGTTTGAGACCCCTGTTTTACACTATATCCTCTCCTTGTTATTCCCAAAGCTTTATTAAAACAGCAAGGGTTAATTGAAGTTTTGCATGCATGCATACAACATCAAATAAATTTGATAGCTATTTTTGAAGAAACAATGCAGTCCACTGCTTCAGTTGGGACACTGTTCGCCTCAGGAAAATAAGCTAGTAGTGGATATAGGAGCGGCAAACAGACCAGTTACAGGCCCCATCTGGTTGATAACTGTGTTTTAGTTTAAAAACCTATAAACATTATTTTTTAAATCCACTGTTTCTTGAAACACTGGAAGCCTTGGAAAGACTGGACCCCTATTCCCGAATTATAACAACTATTCCTCCATCCTGATGACTTTCAAAAATATATTTCCTGCCAAGATTTCTCTATTAGGCTCCAGATACAAATGTCAACTTCATACAGCCAAATGGAGGTCCAACAGACATATCAAAATCAATGTGTCCACAACAGAGCTACTTCCTCACTTAATAACTGGCCTTTCTTTATTCTATGTCTAGCAAGGAGTACACAGTTTAATCTCTCTCAACAAAAACCTGAGAATCAAAATACTCTTTTCTTTCTTCCTTACCCCAATAACCCATTCACCAAATACTATTGTAACATCACATTTATCAAGAGTTCTCAAAAACCATCTTTTTATATCCATTTTCAATGCAACATTAGTTGCCCTCCTAATACTTTGCTTATGTATTCAAATAACCACTGAAGTATATATTAGAAAAGAAAACAGGTTTCAAATCAATGACTTAGTTCCCACCTCACAAAGTAGAAAAGAGAACATTAAACTAATGACAAGTAGAAAGAAGGAAATAATGAAGAGGAAAGAGGAAAACAATAAAATAAAACAAAATGATAGGGGAAAAATCAATGAAACCACATGTTTGTTCATTGAGGAGATTTTAAAAAACCAATAAACCTCTAGCTAGATTAATCAAGAAAAAGAGAAAATGCACGAATTACCAATATCAGAAATAAGAGAAGTAACATTGGAAGAGATTCTTTAAATGTTAAAAAGATAAGTAACTTTATAACAATAAGCCTGGCTAACTAGATGAAATGGACAAATTCTTTGAAGGACAGAGAATACCAAATCACGTGCAAGAAGAAGTTTTAAAAAAACAGAATAGTTTTAATATTTGTTGAAGAAATTTAAATTTTATCATAGACCTAAATGTAAAACCTAAGATTATAAAGCTTCTAAAAATAAACATAGAAAAATTTTCTGACCTTGATTTATGCAAAGATTTCTTTGGTCTGACACCATGATCAATTTTACCTCAAACAACTGTGGGAATAGGGTGGTGGACAGGGCAGGGGAGAACAGTGAGGGAAAAGGTGGGGCAACTATAACTGAACAATAATTTAAAAAATAAAATAAAATAAATTTGCAGATAAAAACAAACAAATCAAAACTGCTCTAAGAAAGATACTACAATAAGAATGAAAGGACAAATCAAAGACTAGGAGACAATGTTTGTAAATCATACATCTAATAAAAGACTTTGTACATATCTTATACAGAAATCTCAAACTCAATGATAAGAAAACAATCCAATTAAAAATTGACAAAAGATTAGAATGGACACTTCATAAACGAATTCATATAAATGGCAAATAAACCTTGAAAACTTGATTAACATCATTAGTCTTTAGGCAAATGCAAAGAAAAACCATATTGGCAAACCAGTACACACCTATTATAATGGCTCAAACTGAAAAAAACAAAAACAAAACAAAACACTGACCATATTAAATGTTGTTGAGGAATTGAAGGAGCTGGATTCTTACATACTGCTGATAGAAATGTTAAATGGTGTGGCCACTTTAGAAAACAATTTAGTACTTTCTTTTTTGTTTATTTTTTATTTTAATTTTTAAATTAAATTTATCAAGGTGACACTGGTTAATAAAATTATACAGGTTTCAAGTGCACAATTCTATGATACATAATCTGTATATTGCATTGTGTGTCCACCTTCCAAAGTCAAATATTTTTCCATCACCATATATTTGGCCCCCTGCACCCTTTGCCTCCCCTTCTCCCCCTTCCCTCTGGTAACCACCATACTTTTGTCTGTGTCTATGAGTTTTTTATTGTTTTTCTTGTTAACTAGTTGCATTCAGTTTTATAACCCTCATGTGAGTAAATTCATATGATTCTTGAATTTTTCTGTCTGACTTATTTCACTTAGCATGACATTCTCAAGATCCATTCATGTTATCCCAAATGGCAGTATTTCATCTTTTCTTATGCTTGAGTAGTGTTCGATTTCAGGGGTGTCCAAACTTTTGGCATCTCTGGGCCATGCTTGGAAGAAGAGTTGTCTTGGGACACACATTAAATATATTGTGACATATAATCACAAAATATCTCAAAATGTTTTAAGTAAATTTACAATTTTGCATTGGGTAGCATTCATAGCCATCCTGGGCCATAGGTTGGACACCCCTGGATATGTACCACATCTTCTTTACCCAATCATCTATTGAAAGACACCTTGGTTGATTTCATGCCTTGGCCACCATGAATAATGTTGCAATGAACATAGGGGTGCATATATCTTTGCAAATAAATGTTTTCAAATATTTCAGGTAGATACCCAGAATAGGAGTTGCTTGGTCATATGGCAATTCTACTCTTAATTTTTTGAGGAAGCTCCATATTGTTTTCCATAGTGGTTGTACCAGTTTACATTCCCACCAACAGTGAATGAGGGTTCCTTCATCTCTAAAACCTCTCCAATGCTTGTTATTGCCTATCTTATTGATAATAGCCATTCTAAGAGCTGTGAGATAATATGTAATTGTATTTTTGATTTGCATTTCCCTAATTGCTAGTGAAGTTGAGTAGCTTTTCATATATCTATTGGTAACTGGTTGGCAATTGGTACTTGGGGGAAGTATCTGTTCAGATCTTCTGCCCATTTTTAACTGGATTGTTTGTTTGTTTGTTTGGTGTAAAGTTGTATGAGTTCTTTATATATTGTACTTTGTTATAAGCATACACCTGTGTCGGATACCGGCCAGCAGTATCCATCTCGGCTGCAGATGGTTGTCGAAACACGAGAAAAACATACACAGAGACAACTAGGTCCTGTGGGGAAATAGGAACAGAAGGGCCACTCTCTCCAGTGGGGAGAGTGCCATGACCACTCTCTCTAGTGGAGAGCGCCCGGTCTCCATTCCCAAGCGGATTTTTATTGAGAAAACAGACTTAGTTTGTGGATTCACAGTCTGGCAGAAAAGATCAAAAGAAGTAGGTGACTTACAAAGGTGCAGACAGAACTCCTGCTGTGATTCTGGGTAGAGATTGGAGTTTTAACATATGAAAGGACTACAGGTTCCAAAGGTTTCCTGTCTGTGCCTTTAAATTCCAAGTTAGTAACATCCTCCAGCAAACAGATCTCACAGGGTCTTGCATATTCTATGTTCCAGGCCTGATTACCCCGGGAGTCTGCTGTTTCTGGTCTGGGCTGTACCACCCCTGCAGGCCTGAGAAGGGCAGGAGACAGAGGCAGCCAGGAGACTTGGATTTCTCACATCTAAGAACAAAGACTCAGGCTTTGACAAAGTCGAGGGGGCAGGGGTTGATGTCCATCACCCCTTCATTTCCACAGCCCCAAATCTCTTCCCTTAGGGCATTCCCACATGATTGTGTCTGTCTTAGATTCATTCTCTTTCTTAGAGAATTGCTACCCATCATTGATTGCCAATCATGCAAAAGGGAAGCCAGGCATTAGAACAGGCAGCATTCATGCCAGGGAAATAAGTTTTGTCTCCTTAGTGGCTCCTGGTCCAGAGGTCTTTCACTCAGCCTAAGTCACGGGGGGTTATAGCTTCCTGAGACCAGGCAGGGCGGTCCCCAACATACACCTACCATATGTTCCAGTCATTTCAATCCTAGGCTCTTAGGTAATTACCCAAAATTTAAAAAAAATCATACATCCAAAGAACATAAATGCTCATAGATGCCTTGTTTGTAGTAATCCCTAAAACTGGGAACAACTGAAATGGCCATCAACAAGTCAATGAACCAACAAACTGTGGTATATTCATACTACTCAGCAATAAAAAGGAATGGCCTATTTACACATGCAACAACATGGAGTCTTAATATAATTATACTGAGTGCAAAAAGCCGGAAAACTTCATATATATTGTATCATTCCATTTATGGACAACACTGGATAGAAAATGCCAACTACACCAGCATAACAGCAGATTAGTGGTTGCCTGGTAGAAGGATGGATTGCGAAGGGCCACAAGGAAACTTTTGAGGATAATGTACATGTTCATTACCTTGAATTTGAGGAAGTTTTCATGGTGTATATACTTGTCAAAACTTACCAAATTGTACATGTTATTTATATGTACTTTATCTTATGTCAATTGTAGCTAATAAAGCTGTTAAAAACACAAAAATATTCTAAAATGCAAAAGAAATTAAGTGAAAAAATTGACTAAAAAATTACCATTTCTAAGTCAGGAAATAACAACTTGAAGCTAAAAATAAAGCTCTTCCCTCACTGCCAGTAGCTAGAAAGTTTAGAAAATGGGAGTTGTTGACTGTTTCCTCCATAGCACCCTCTCTTATGTTGAGGAAGGGTAGGGCACAAACACTGCCCTAGAACAAGTTAGAGAAGCCAAGAGTACGCTAAGGAGAATAGTTTTTGTAAGACCTTCCCATTTACCCTTCTTGCTTAATGTATCACGAAGGTGTCTGGAGTATGTTGGACTGTCTTTTTTTCACATAAGAAAATAGAGTATCCAAGTTAAGAGAGTAGGTTCTGGAGATAGACCATTGGGACTCATACCATGGTTCCACTATTTACTAAAAGTGTGACCTTGGAGAAGTTCCCTAACCTCTCTGTGCCTCAGTGTCCTCATCTATAAAAACACGCATTCATTCAAAAACATGTTTACTGAGAACTCCCCTTACAAACCTCTTAAAACAAAAATGGAAAAATGTATAGAATGCATTATTAGGAAAAAAACTTCCTAATTTTTCTATTTTCTCAGTAAAAGATTAAGAGTACAAAAAAGAAAGAACATAAAAATGGTTAAGAATTGAAATTTCAAAACATCATGTCAAGCATAGAGAAAATTAGAAGAGAACAGCAAATAGTTTCCAAATTACACAGCAATTCAACTGGTTTTCTCTATATAAATTATAAATTATATTCACTTGAGAAAAGAGGTTAAAGTGGAATCTGCAGACCAAATTATTATGACACTGTTGAGAGAGAGTTTAACAACCCAACTCATTATATAAGTGTATCAAATCAACACATTGTACACCTTAAACTTACACAATGTTATATGTCAATTATGTCTCAATAAAAATAATTTTAAAAAATTAAACTAAATTTTAAAAAGTGCAATTAGATTGTGACCTGCTAACAATGTCATGTCCGCTCAAAAGTCAGTAATGCTGATGTTAGGCTTATCATGTTTTCCAAAAAACAACATTTTGGTTATTTATTTTCATTATAAATTTAAAATAACTTTAATTGTTAATTTTATGATTGCAACTATTACATGAAATATAAACCAATTCCTACAAATTTCAGACGGAGTTTGTCCAGTGAGAAATTATCATAATATGTTACTAAGATTTCCCATTACACATTTTAAATAAAGTTTAAAACACTGTTCACCATGAATATAAATCTTCCATGAGTCTGTCCATGGATTTATTGTACAAAGGATTTCAAATGTCCTCCAGCAGAAAAAACAATAGCAGCAATGATCAAAACCAAGTTGTAATATGACTGCTTATTTATGTTTATTCAATGATGTGTACAATGAGTACATTTTTACATGTATGTAGCTGTTTCCTAAATGACTTTCAAAGCAGCTTAAAAACATTCATTACAGTGCTACTATAGTAAAAGTTGGAATTCTGTAGAAGGTATCCATGGAAGATAATCATGTTCCTGTTCAAAAAGCATTATTCATTCCAATTGTGAAGAATAAGAAATGCAGTACCTATGTAATAAGTTAATATTTAAATGATTATTATGTTAGAAAAATTACAATTACCTGTGAGACACCCAACTTTTTACAAGCATCAAGAAAGTTTTCTACATTTCTTCGACATTTTGCCATGCTCAGTTTAGGCTATAAAGTAAAAAGAAAAGGTATATTTATAGGCATATTTAAACAGAAATAAATCAAAATTGATATTATTTAAAAACAGTTTCAAGAGAACTTAAAAATTGCTGACAAAACTTACCACTGCTGGTGATGGCACATGAATACTAGCTACAGAGCGTGGCCTTATATGATTGGCTAAATGACAAAGAACAACCCCATCCATGAGTGCAGCTCCAATGTCATCAGGCAAAATTACTTTTAACTTGGATTCAAGATTCTATAAAAAATAGGCATAAATCACAGATACTCTACCTAAATATGTTATATATTTATATTACAAAGCATTATTATATAATCCAAAATTTTAAAGAGTATTGAAAATAAAATCCACATACATTTTTTAAAAATATTTTATTTATTTACTTTTAGACAGAGGGGAAGGGAGTTAGAAAGAGAGGAAGAGAAACATCAATGTGTGGCTGCCTCCCATGCACCCTCCTACTGGGGACCTTGCCTGCAACCCAGACATATGCCCTGACTGGGAATCAAACCAGGTACCCTTTGGTTTGCAGGCCAGCACCCAATCCACAGAGCTACACCAGCAAGGGCTCCATATACATTGTTAATTTTCCAAGTTAAACCCATTCCTACAAAGCAGATCTGAAAGGTCAATCAGACTTACATTGCGAAGTTGTCGTATTTGCTCTCGTTCTTCCCGTAAATGTTCCATCTTTCTTCTCATTGTAAATCCAGGATCTGCTGCCCCATATTCCTGGCGAGATGAGCGGCTAAAAGCTATAAAAACAGAAATTTCCTAACTTATAACAAAGCTAATAAGAAGGATCAACCATCGGTAGGGAAAGAGGCATGATAAAAAGAATCAATACAAAATTTCACTAAACACTACTACTTTATAATACATTCTAAATATTTTTCACAGAATATAATTGAAATATACTAATCTGCATAATTGAAAGCAACAGGGAAGACAAGTGTAACAATTTCTACCACCTATATATGTTCTTACATAAACACATTTTTAGAAACTTATGATCCAGCTTAAAAATTATTAAACATAAATCAGCCTTTATTATGTTTATTATCTTTAAAGAAAAAGGAAATTATTCTTGAAGGTCAATATAGTTATTCAGTAATAAAAACTGTAATTCAATACCTTGCCAAGTAACATGGATCCATTTTCTTTTGGGCTTGCCAAATGCGAAAAGATCCCTTTTTAAAACCACAATATAATGGAGTGCTATAATTTCAAACAGTGTTTGGTTTGCTGGCAGAGTGGTCATTCTAATAGCAGTCACAGTAGTGTAGAAATAAGACTGCAGTATATCTAAGGCAAAAAGCTGAGGTTTCAGGAGCTTGAAGGTAAAGAGGAAGAAAGAAATGGGGAATGGGAATTGGAAAGACAAATAAGGTTAAGAGAAAATTACTTTTGGAGGGGGAAAGAATCTGCGTGTACTTAAAACTATGGAATCAAATCTCATTTTAAGCTTGGAAACTCTAGTTTCATATATAACCAATAAATTTTATTTGCAGAACATATATTTACCTGATCTAGGCTTCAAGCCAAAAGGACCATGTGAAAAACCATCAGTTCTATCATATACCTAAAAGCAGAAAACAAATAAAACCCATTTTCTTTCAAAATAATTAAGATAGTTTATTCATATCCACTCCAATTTTGAGAAGTATTTATTTTTCTGTGATCAGTGAAGTAGAGAAAGGTAAACTGCATTCCCATTTAAATTGATAATTTCACTTTTAAAAGGTATATAAATATTTGCTAATTGACCTGATTATACAAGCCTTTAAATGTTTCTCTCCCATAGTATCAGTAAAATTAAAAGTGAAATTATTGAAATGTATAAATTTAATAGACATTATTTTAAGTAAATAACAAAGTCTGAAGTGAAAAGATCTTTTAAAGATCTTTAAAAGATCTTTATCTTTTCACTTCAGTGAAAAGATAAGTGAAATTAGCAACATTTACTTAGCCTGTACCATGGAGCTGACACTTAGGGGACACTATGGGGCAAAACTGTACATTTATACTAACAGGAGCTCCAGAATGGTAGACAATAAATTATTATGTCTTCCTTTTGAATGCACATTGCTTCAAAGTGCTTTCACACACTTATATGCTGTAGAAAGAATTGTGGCATATTTTAAAAATCTGAACTTGGCATCATAGAGTTTAGGTTAAGTCTTAAGCAGAACATTTAATTTCTCTGTGACTTTCTTCATCTGTAAAATGGGGTGCTGTGAAGATTAACTGAGATAACTATAAGAAAGCACTTTGTAAAGTGGTAAGATAATGTAATGTTAGCAGCATCTTATTTAATCTGTGCAATAATTGTGAAATATATACAGTCTGGGTTTCAGTCACTTCTCCACCACTTATTTCACTGGGGTCTTTCGGCAAAGTTTATCAGTCTCTTCAGCTGTAAAATGATGAGTCTAATACCCAGTTCATGGGACTTCTCTTAGGTTCAAATGCACAGGCAAGCCTTTGTTAGTAGTAAAGTTCTATACCATTTTTTTATCCTCTTCCTTTCACAGATAAAATTGAAGCAATCAGAATTCTGTTGAATTCTCCGAATTTTCTGATTAACATGTGGTATATACTTCAAGCTGAATGTTAATTGAGCTACCAAAACACATGCTCAACAATCTAAGCATCCACAAGTCTCAGTTTGTCTTCATTCTTTTGCTAAAATGTTATGAATTCCCAGACAAAAACTTTACTTATCCAAATGCAAGCAAAATGTATTATATAAGCAATGTAATTTACTTGAGAAAACTGGCACCAATACCTCCCCTGTGATCACTGATCAAAAATCACAACGCAATTAGGCAAATAAGTAGTCACTTACATGCTTACATTTGTCATAATTGAAAGTAAAAGACTTACAAAAGCATATGACAAAGACTAATTTTAAAATATCTTAATTTAAACTATTTTCCAAAAGAATGTAACCATTTTACCTGCCATATAAATAATTTAGAAACATGTTTATAAAACTAACATCCAATTCTATTTAAAAGTTTTAATCATTTACTTACTAATGACAATACTTTTGTAGAATACTAAATAAGGTAATTTTAAATAGGAAAAGATACTGTTTGAAATTTTAAAAATTTATCTCTTGTTGTAAAGCAATAGGTTTAATCAAATTAGATTAATCAATCAATCATTCAAACCACTAGAGTATTTGACTGAGATCTCACAAACTCTCATCTAGCCCTTCTCCTTTCCCCCACTCCAGTGTGAGATGCTAAGAAATGTGTACCCTCCTGTCGATAGGAACAACCCACAGCAGGGATGTTTCCCGTGGAAAAAGGAAGTTTCTCTTGCATTGCTTTCAGACCTAACTGGTTATGAGAAAAACCAAAGGTCACTGCACAATGCTGAAGTAGTTTGTTTTTAGAATTAATATTTTAAAGCTGTTTCTATCATTTATTTCAAAATATGGATTATACAACATAAAATCACATAAATTGAATGCTTTTCTTTGATCTAGATGCATTTGTCAATGAGTAATATGTTATATTTATTATGAATATTTGTACAAAAAGATGGTAGTGTTCTTAGAATTCTTTATAGGCTAGGTATGTACAAATTCACCTATGTGGCTCTCTAAATATGGGTGAATAAATTACATTAAAAAAAAGATGAGGTTAGAGAAAAGAGACAAGAAAGAAACTTATGTAAACATATAAAAACAGAACTTGTACCTCAGATGATATTGGAGTTTGTGGTAACACATTAGCATTATCACTGTCTTGCTAAAACATAAAAATAAAAAGATGAAAGATGAAATTAAAACATGAATGATGATGTAGACATATAAAGAGAAAACTGAAAATTGTTTTGATCAACTGCTAATGAAAGAATCTAGAAAATACCATCTACCACCTCGTTGCTTAAAGTGTTGTTTGTGAACCAACAGCACCAGCATCCTCTGGGAATTTGCTAGAAAGGCAGTCTCAGGCCTCACCCAAGACCTACTTACTTAGACTCTGTATTTCAATAGGATCTCCAGGTGACTAATAAGCCATTAAAAGTTTTAGAAGTACTATCTACTCACACAAAGTATTTTCCTATAAATGTATTTCCTTTAAATATCACAAAAGAAAAACCTTTTCATATTTCTTAGAAAAGATCCATGTGTTCAGGTTCATTTCTGATGGGAAATGGCAATAACACATTACAATCTGGGCATGGAAAAATTCCATCATACCAAATAAAAACATTTATCTGGAAAATTATGTATAGCACAGGTGGCAAACACAAGACCCAAGGGCCGATCCAGCCCTCCACCTTGTTTTATCTGGCCTGGTACCTTGTTTCTACCCGGTGGCAGTGCCAAGCTCCTTGCCCCTAGTTAAGGAGTAGTTACATTTATACAGTCCTAAAAGTACATTCGGCCCTTTGAAGGCAACTGTGAGGCTGATGTGGCCCCCAGTGAAAATGAGTTTGACACCCCTGAGAGCTAATATAGGCTTAGAAATAATTCCAAAGAATTTAATTGCATAAAATAATATTAAGGAGTCTATGTTTTTCAAATGACTACTACCATCCAAATACAAAAATCTTAACATTTAATCTTGAATCTGCATACCACACAGGACATTACTCACCGTTCAACAAATGATTACTGACTACCCAGTATATGTTAGATACTGCACTAGGCATTGGGAATACTGAAATTTAGTAAAATATTATCTACTGAAGGATCTCTCAGTCTAGAGGGAAAATAGACTAATTGATAGAGGTAATACAACCTTCTTAAGAAAAACAACAGAGCTTTGAATGTCATATCATGAGGCACAGATAATGGCGCTTCAAAAGATAGTGCTGGAGGTTGAGAAAGGTAAGTTTCCTGAGAAACTAAAAAAACTGAGTAGGTGTTTACCAGAAAAAAAAGGGAACAGCATTGCAAGATGAGAGGACAAAAACAAATGCAGAGAAGCAATAAAAGAAGAGTGCAGAAAACCTTGGAGCAGTTCCCTATTGCTGGAGAGTTCAGTGAAAAGAGGGCAAATTGGGAGTTAAGGCTGATATGGTAAGCAGGGGCTTGACTAAGGACTTAGAATTTATCCTCTAAGTGATGAGGAGACATTGAAGCTTTCTAAGCAAAGGAATGGCCTGGTCATATCTGTGTTCTTTGAAACAGTCATTGTGGGTGCAGGGAGAATGGACCGGACAAAGGAAGAGATGAATAAGGTTGCTACTGCAGTCAAGAAATGATGAGGGCCTGTGCGGGGGCAGAAAGAGCAGATATGCAAGTATGGAATATATTCAAAATGTTTCAGTATCAAAAACCAAAACCAAAACCAAAAATAAAAACAACAACAACAAAAAACAGGTCTTGGTAACTAATTAGATATAAAGGCAGGAAGGACCAAAGTGGATATAAAATATAAAGGGCCAGAAAGAACAGCCAAGCTGAACCATGACACTAGCTCAGTTTTCAGCAGATGTTTTCTGTGTGATTCTATTTCATAAAATTAGAGTTTTCAGAAGCCCTGCCAAGAGCCAACATCAAATCAACTACGAACACCTCCAAACAAAATACAAAAGCTGAAGTATTCATGGTAATGAGACTATCATTTCAAAAATTCTAGGCTGCTACAGTTTAAAATGGTGAGGTAAAAAATGTATAGTAATGCAAAAACTGTAGTAATCTAATTTTAAACATTAAGATAGTACAAAGAATTTGTGGAAAGATACTAATAAATTCCAAACAAATCTCAATGGATCACCAGATTGATTTAGGAAGATGGTAAAAATGTAAAAAACTTAAATTTATGAATTAAAGGTTCATGATGAATGTTAAAATTCTACAATTGAACTATCAGAAATTCCATTATAAACAAAGGGCATAAGGAAATTACATGATTACATTAGTAACTATATGACAACACTTACTTTTTATTACTACAGAAAACCCAGGCATTAAATCAGTAACAAAGACACTGAAAGATGGATTACATTTTACTCTAATTTAGTCAATACATATGAGAAGTAAATATTTTAAGTAATTGATAATATTACCCTCTTTTCTCACCTCATCATTTTCATTGCCACTTGAATTCTTCCTTGATGATTTATACTGAAAAATATTTCAAACACATATTTTTCCTTGAACATATGAATTCTCTACTAGTAAATAACATATGAGATTTATTCATATTTTGGTATTTTATTAAATTATCGAATACTAAGTTTAATTATATAAGCAGTTTAAAGAGTCCTACCACTTACTAATAGCTAACACATACAGGGTCCAGCACAATTAGTGCCCATTTTTTATTACAAAATCTTTTACTACAAAATCATAAGCATGTAACTCTGTAACATAACAATATCACACTCAAGCACACCATATGACATTTTAGGTGAAATGTTCAAATTAAAACTATAAATTACCACCCCATATTATTATCCTACCAATGACACTCAAGCAAGCCTTACTCTTGCTAGACCGTGTACAGTATGTGCAAGACATTGTTTTAATTACTTTACATATATCAAGTAACAATTCCTCCTTAAACAAATCCATTTGGCAATCTGAAGGTTGTCTTACATGTTCCTTTTTCTTAATCCAGTATATCGAATGTGTCATCAAGTCACTTTTTTTGTTATCTCAAACTTACGTCTGACTTCTCATAACTATCACCTTATCCTAGGCCTTATCTCATACTTAGTCTATAATCTCATCATTCAAAAATGTCATTATGAAGAAACCTACTTATTTTAAGTTAAAAAAACCACTACATTAAATGTCTATATTGACTATCCAATAATATAGTGATAATAGCTAACACTATGCTAGCACTTTATACCAGGCACTGATTGAAATGTCCTACATGTATTAACCCACTTAATCATCATAACAACTCTGAGGTAAATACTATTATCTTCATTTTATACTTAAGCACAGAGGCAATATAGTTAATATCAAAAAATGTTACTATATGAAAATGTGCTTCTTACAATGAAGAAAATGCAGTATGACAACCACTAGAGTTCTTACTTCTGATTCTTCTTTACCAAAAATAATCTTGCAAATCAGTGGCAGATTAATCTTCTCCAAACACTACTTGAAACTCAGCAACTCAGGATTCTCCTGTTAAAAAACCTATTAACTTCTAGATTATGTCCAAATTACTCTGTCTAGCATTCAAGGTGCTCTTTAATAGCCCCATTTACCTATGTAGCTTTATCTTCTATAACTCTTGGAAAAATAGATAACCTACTTCCTAGCTCAACCACAAATTGGGGCTGAGCAGAATTGGGGATTACAAATACAAAACCTAAGTTCCTCCACTGTCTCCCCTGTGATTTAAGAAAATTCTCACTTATCTATCAGGGTGCTCTTTTCGGCTGATCCCAGATACAGCTTCAGTGTTTTTAATCCAGTGTTCCAGATTGCCACAGAATCAAGTTTGCATGTGTAAATAAAACTATTTGCTATCGATTCCTGTTTATGTCATTCTTGGTTCTCTATTCTACTTCAATAAAAGTATGTCATTAGGACAGCAGACAACAGAACTCCAAGACACCATCAGTCATACCAGCAAAGAAAAAACTCATGATGTCAAAATAAGAGAGCTGTCAAGCTGGAAACTGATGTGGGATTTTACCCCTAAAGGCACTGTTGGAACATTTCTAAGAGGTTACTATATATTGGTATTACAAGAAGTACGTCAGCCCTGGCTGGTGTGGCTCAGTAGGTTGAGTGCTGGCCTGCAAACCAAAGGGTCATCAGTTCGATTCCCAATCAGGGCACAGGCCTGGGTTGCAGGCCAGGTGCCCAGTAGGGGGTGCACAGGAGGCAACCACACATTGATGTTTCTCTCCCTCTCTTTCTCTCTCCCTTCCCTTCTCGAAAAATAAATAAATAAATAAATAAAACCTTATTTATTTTAGGGAGTATCGCTGGGGTTTCTATCCTGCTGGCAGGTTAGGTACTTTTCCACTACTGCCTTTCTTACAAAGAACTCAACAGTGAGCATCTAGGCAAGTATCACTGAAGAGGGCGCAGCATGGAGGGAACAGTCTGCATTCCTAACCATGACCTTTTTTGTCAGGCATCTCAATCCTTGCTAAGTGCTTTCATATTCTAATTGAGAATTAACACCCAATAACAGATGACTGGCACAAAAACATACACCCAAAACAAAACAAAATGACATTTGAGTGAATAATAAGCTAATATTTATTAAGTGCATACTTGGTGGCAAGTACTATTCTAAGAACTTTACATTACATTATTCAATCGTTATAACAATCTTTTTTTAAAGATACTATTAGGGTCATTTGATCTTTAAAAATTGAGTTCAGCAAGGTTAGGTAATTCACCAAAGGACATACAATTAGTAGATATTTCAAGTAATGACTGGAACCCAAGTGGTTTGATTCTAGATGCTCAGGTTCTTAATCACTATAATATACTCCCATCTCTAAATCCTGAAAAATTAGTAGGAATGTGCCAGGAATAAAAGGGCTAGTGGGGATTCTCAGAAAAAGAAAGCACAAAAGAATAAAAATGGTCCGCCTCTGCAAAAACAAACAAAAAAACAGTCATGTGGCTAGTGAGAGGAGTGAATTGAGGCAGGAAATAAAACTTAAGAGAAGTAAACAAGTATGGCCCATGAAGTTTTGAAGATGTCCAAACTTTATGTTATTAATGATGGGGAGTTAATATGGAAATTTAAGTCAAGGATCTCTCCAAAAGTTGTGAAAGTAGAGAAAAGGGGACCATTAGGAAGTTATATTACACTTTAATTATTTTTTAACAAAAGAAGTTATTGCAATTGCCCAGACAAGAAAAATTAAGATTTCAATAAAAGCCAAAATAGCTGAGATGGAAATGAGGTGATGAATTGAAAAAAAGGATGTTTAATTAACATTCTGGTAACCAATTAGGTGAGGGGAATGAGAGGTGAAAACATGAGAAGGACTTGAATCATAAAGCTTAGACAATAGAGCAGATAGAACTACCATTAACAAAAATAAAGAATAAAAATGAGAAGCAAATTCTATGGTGGGGGGTGGGCCAGTAAGAGGAGAAATTGAATGTGACATAAATGTAGGGCATCCTGACAATTAGAAATACAGGTCTGGAGACCAGAAAATGTTTATTGAATATAAATTCAGGTCCAGATGAATATAAAAGACATATGAAGTCATAAAAGTTTCAGAGATAGTTTTAGACTAATGAAAAGATGAATCCCTAAAGGACAAGCAGAAGAAAAGTCAGAAAAAAAGTTAGACAAGAACATCAAAAGGAAAACAGACAAATCAGGGAAGAAAAATGAGTTTCAAGAAGTATGTGGCCCTGGCTGGTGTGGGTCAGTGGATTGAGTGCCGGCCTGCAAACCAAAGGGTCACTGGTTCAATTTCCAGTCAGGGCACATGCCTGGGTTGTGGGCTAGGTCCTCAGTGGGGGGTGCATGATAGGCAACCACACATCAATGTTCCCCTCTCCCTCTCTTCCCCTCTCTCTAAAAATAAAGAAGGAGGATGTGGTTATTCATTGTCAAATGCTACAGTGCATTTTGCCTTTAGTAGGTTTATGTGAAGCTCTAGTGAGGGGCTATTTCAATGGAGGAATGGAGGTGAAAGCCAAACTGCAGTGGGTTAGGAGTGATCAGAAAGTGGAGACTGAAAAATGGCAAATGTTGCTCTAAAAGAAAACAGAGATATGACAACAGCTGAAAGGCGAATCTGGAATAATAGTAGAGATCTGAGCTTATTTATAAGATGGAAGGTTTAAAAAAGGACATAGAAAAGTACATGGATAATTGATAAAGGAAAGAGGTAGAGGATGATGTAGTCAAGAATTTACATAATAAGACCAGTATTACTATTACTCAATTTACTATTCTAATTAAAAGTATTTATTATATATGAAAACTTAGAAAGATATTATTTAGTTTGCATTACTGCTCATTGCAAAGGTTCTAAAGCCTAAACATATAGGTTTTACTAAATAAATAGTAAAACTTAATATATACATAGATTTAAAAATATTGTATAAGTCCAAATTTTTACTAACTCAACTCAGCTGTCCTCAGTTAATATTAGCCTGAATAACTGAAGTTTTATTATATCTAAATTTAAATATTACAATAAAGACCTGTTCTGAAACAGGTCAGTTCATCTCTGAAGCCTAGATTAAATTTACTGGCAAGACAGTTAACTATGTGCAAATTCTGACTCAGAACAAATCAGGTTATTTCAGAAGCCCAGTTGGTTTCTTTTTTCCAGTATAAAATTAAGTATGATCATAAATATATATATAAATATTTATCTTGGGGGTTAGCTTTTAAATTAAAATATTGTACTATATTTATAAAATCAGATGTGTATTTTGTGAGTCATTATGCTGTATCACAGCAGTAATGAGAAACATTTGAAGACAAATATGTATGACATTTCAATAAATCAAATAATCCTGAAAAGTAACTAGGTATAGTAATTCTAATGTTCCCTAACATTTTGGCTTAGAAATCAATCATCAAATGCATTCAGAAATTCATGTGTTATGCTTACAAGAAATTAAAGCTACTAAATTACATTAAAGTAATTTATCAACAAGAGGTTAGATTTTCATATTTTATTGTGTATCTTAGTAAAATATTAATACATTTCTATAAAAGATGTTTTAATAAAGTAATGTGTTTCTTAGAATAGTTTTACTTTGAGAAATGTAGTGATTTTTTTTTGGCAACAAGGACATTCAATTTTATTTACCAAAGTAGTATGTGATAATGGCCAAGGTGTATGAAAGAGTTAATGTAACTCCCCTACAGTCAATTATTTATGTGGTCATATACTTATGTGGTCATTTATTTATTTAGGTGGTCATATAATCTGACCCAATTTATATTCTTGCTCATATAACCTGGGCAATATGTTGAAACATTTTTTACTTAGTTTCAGGGTCTTCCCTGAAAAACATACCACCCAAAATTAGTTTGGCAACTAAGAAACAATAATAGAGCAACACACATACACAACACACACAGAGTAACACACATACACTTTCAATAAATATACTGAATAACAGCACCACAAATAATTTACCATGTAACAAAGAAATCTGATGGCTCAGTTGTTTTATGTGTTAGGATAAAGTTGCACAAAAACTCTGTATGTTTCAGAACACAACAAAGCAAAAGAAGCCATTGTTGAGCGAACTCAGTGATAATTTGATAGAAATCTCTAGGGTAGTATATTTTAATATTTAATGAACTATAAATTCAGATTTAGTTCACTAATTTATCTTATGAAAAACCTTTTTGATTCTCAGGAGACAGGTAATTGAGAGAAATTTTTTTTTTGAAAGAAAGACACTTCATAGGAATCGATGATGTTTTAATCATTAAAATACTGGAAATTTTGAGTAATGGTTTGTATTTGTACTTAATTTAGAGAGCAGTATCTCAACTGTATATATGTATTTTTTACATTTTAGGAAAAAAATTGCTACATTCTATTTTTGTTAACTGTCCTAACACTGACATCTTCTGACAGCTGAGAGAACTACATTATCTTCTTAAAACATGCCCCAGTGACTGAAACTTATCTTTGTACCTATTTAAGTGTGGATGAAATTAACATTTGTTGAATAATGATTATGCAACAGACACTTCAAAGATTATTTCATTTGATCTCTTAAATAACAATGTTATAGAAGGTATGTTTTAGCCATAAAAATAAAATATTTTATCAACAAAAGATGCTATTAAATCAAACTATTTATTTATTTAGGGAATTTTTCAGTGTATTTTTTCCATTACCATTTATCCCCCCATACCCTCTTCCACCTCTACCCACCCCTTCCCCCACCCGAGGTCACTGAAGCCTTTATTAAGACTTTATTGAGAAATTCACCTAAGTTACTATAAAACATTTAAAAAACAATAAAACTGTACTGATTTGAAAAATGTTTGTTCATTTGACATTAGGCTACCTATGGTAAGTAAATAGGCAGCATAGCATACGCTTTGGGTTCAAATCATGACACAAATGCTTCTTAGCTAAGTGACCTCAAGCATATTACTTCGCCTCTCTGTGCCTTAATTTCCCCATCTGTAAAATAAAAATGATAATAATTGTAGTTACTTCACAAGGTTGTTACAAAGATTACATGAGTTTATATTTTTAAAGTATTTGGAACACTGCCTGGCACTTAGTAGGTGCTATGCACATGTTTTCATAAATAGATTTTGTATGCTTTTACTATACAAGTAGATTAAATAACTATTAAAAAGGGGAAAGGTTTTCAGGAACTACTATAAAGGACACATGGACAAAACCAAAGGGGGGTAGGATCAAGGGTGGGAGGTGGGGATGGTTGGGGTGGGAGGCACGGTAGGGGGAAAATGGAAACAACTGCTCTTGAACAAAAGTTAAAAAAGTTTAAAAATTTATTTTATTAGTTTAAAACACTAAAATTTCCCCATATCATTAGTTATTCACTAACTTTTATCTATTAACAAATTTTATTGAGCACTTTTGTTCAAGGCTCCATAAACTAAAAGAAGGGGTTCTAAAATAAGTGCCAGAATGTTAATTTAACTACAGACCTGTAAAAAGTTGGGATAAATAGCCTTTCATCATTACTGACCAGGGGTCTGCTTAGAATATCCTTCCCTTTTTCCCTATGTGTTTTATTTCTTCATTATCTCCCTTATTGACTAGGTAACAAGAGGCTCATTAAAAGATTCAGTAATTATTTGTTGAAGGATGAAACTTATCACATACTTCTTACCACATTTAAATATTTTTGTTTTGGTCATATGATACTGCTTCTAAATATGTTATAATCCCATATAAGGAAATAGATCAATGTGCATAAAGACCCACTGCTAGCAAACAGAGAAAAACATGAAATGTACTCTTATTTATTAGTGATATAAACTTCAAATTACTACCTATGATTTAGCTTAGAACTATGCATTCTGATAAAATTGTTATTATTATTAAATGAAAATTAGGCTTTGGGAAACAGCAAAGGTGCAGTAAGACAAGAGAATTTGCTATTCATGAATGAGGAGATTGTTTGCATTGTTCATTTGAGTCAGAAATTCCAATAGTGGATTCTGAGTAGTACTAAGATTATTCCAATTCCAATGACTGACATCTGCAAATCAACAGACCTAAACCACAAATATATAATATTTACAAAGGTCTGCACAGTAAAATTTCATTAAACTATGCTAACTAGAAATGTGGGATAATTCAGATGCTCTCAGCTTTTAATTTAGTTAAAAGACCACCTTATGAAATCTACTAATATAATAACATAATAAAATGGCAGGGAAAACACTTTTAATCTTTTGTAGAACCATATAAATAACATTTATTTACATAAAAACAATTAAATGCTAATTATTGTCAACTATTTATTGAAATAAATCCAATGAAGACCTTTTGGGGGTAATTCTTTTAAAACATTACCACATATTATTCCAACTAGCAGTGTAGAAAACATTACATCTTTCTTTGTAAAGAATTTGGTAAACCACAATTCAGACTGATCTACTCATTCTTAATTATTCTGTATTACTGAAATATAGATATAACTGGATTGTGTTATCTGTACCATATACATGTACGAAATAAAGATAACACATTTACTATATGTAACAAATTATATTCTACCTTATTAACATAAAATAAAACTGATGAAATGAAAACTCATTTCAAAGTAAATTTTACAATTTTAAAGTACCTTGAAATATTCTTTTCTAATCTGTTTGCTCCGCCTCCTTTCTTCACTATGCCAAATTATAGGTTGAGATTCTGGCCACTGTTGTTCATCTGTTTGATCCTTCTGATTTTCTAAGGGCTGTAATAAGACAGTTTCTTTTAAGTAAATAAATGAAGACAAAATATTAGGTATAATAAAAATTTAATACTCTCTTACCTGCCATGAGAAAGGTGATAATGGTGAATTAACTTCATCTGCTAAGACACTAAAAAAAAAATCAAAGATGCCTTAATATGTTAAAATATTTAGAATTGTCCTTAGATATATATTATAAACATGATAACAGACTATAAAATTACCTTTTTAAAACCAGAAATCTAAAGAATGTACTCACGTCTATGTTTTGAACTAATAACATAATACTTAAAGTTGACAAAAACATATTGGAGTCTCCAATCAATTATGATCATTACAAAAACAACAAAATGGGCTTATTTAATATCACTGTAGTAGACCATCCTGTGTGGTGTGGGCCCAGCCCCCAGTGACAAACATTTACTGCAAAATAACTTCCTAAAAACCATCCTAAACCTTCCAAGGACAAGTGTAACCTGTTCAACCACTTCAGCCTTTTCACTTGCAAATATCCCTCTTCTGTGATGTGATTAGCAGCACTGGCTCCTTTGTTTTCTGTAAAAGGTAACCACCTAAAGTGAAATGGTGCACAGTAAATGAGGACCATCATGTAATGAGCAGAGAAACCCAATAAAAGTTGGTCATGGTGGAGGCCGAAGCTTTTGCTCCCCTTGAGAGAAAAGCCATGCTGTCCCTTTTCCTCCACTGGACTTGGTAATCCATGTGAATGTCTCATTTCATCCATAATGATGCAGACACTGTGGGCCGGTGTCTGCATCATATCATCTTATGCATAGGACCACTCTAAGGACTTTTTAGAGGCCAAAAGAAATAATACAGAGAGACATAAAAAGAACACACAAGATATTTATCAAAATCATCACCCAAAACAAAGCAAAACAAAACAAAGCAAAACAAAACAAGTAATTCTTTTTGCCTATTGAATTACTGATTATGAGCCTGTAACCTTTCATTCCAACATATAGGGGCTATGGTAGAAATTCTTTTTATCCAGTTTTTTTGTTTTTGGAGTGAGGTTAACTGCACGCCATTGTTACATAGCAGATTTGAACAAGGAGTTCCTTTAGAAAAAAAATACACAAAATGCCCACTAGAGATGGTATTATTCAATACTGTTATAAAACTTCTGTTCAGTACAGGAATAAAAGAACATTTAAAAATTAGAGAGGAACAAATTTCCAAAATTTATAGAGAACATAATTGTCCAAGAGAAAAACATTTTGAAAAGTCTATTATTATTAAGAGAAGGTTAGCAGTTGTAGAAAAATATATGTTAATAGCATATATATATATATATATATATATATATATATATATATAAATTATAACAAGTTACAAAATATATTAGAAAAAATCTCATAAAAGGAAGGAAAAGTTACACTTAGGGAAAAAGATTTAACTGGACATGCACAATACCAATATGAAAAAACTACAACTGTCTAGTAAGGAACTTAAATGACTAGAAAGTTCTTAGAAAGACTAAATATTATAGATAGCTGATCACTGAAATAAACTCCAATAATTTAAAAAAACCAAGAAGTATTTTTGGGCTTGTTTTGGAAATTTCATAAGAGTTACAAAGTTAATTTGGAAGAATGGATAACCAAGAAAAGTTAAGTTATATAATAAAGAGGATGTACCTACTAGGAAATTACATATTTACATTCTATTAAGTTACAGAAATAAATCAGTACTAGTTCCAGAATCTATAGGTTTTTCAGTGGAAGAGGTGTACAGGACTACAAGTCAAACAACTTATGATAAAAATGAACTGTAACATCATTGAGGAAATGATGGATTGCGTAACAAATATTGTTCAGACAACTAGTTAACCAATTGTAAAATACACACAGAAAGAAAAAAGAAAAGGGAAGAGGAGGAAAGGGAGTGAGAAAAAGAAGAGAGGAAGGGAGAGAGGGAGAAAGGAAAAAAATAGATTTCTTACACTATATCCAATATCAACATTAATGGACTGAAAGGTTTAAATATAAATAAAGATGAAATCACATAAACATATGCAAAATATGGGTAGTAATTTTTAAAATGTTTGGGTGAAGAGGGCATGTGTGGAAAACAATCAAAATTAAATATTGACAAATTCCATAAAATGTAAAAATTAGTCTTTGCATCTGCCCAAGATAGAATTAACAGTGACCAGGTTTATACCCTGACTGAAAGCAATAAAAGAATAGAAAAAATACATGAAATTATACTTTCCAAGACATTAAATATCAAGGAAAAAGACAGCTATCCCTTAGACACTGGTAACAAACAAGGCAAGCCTCACAATTGAGTCAGATTGCTATAGGAAGAGAATTTCCAAGCCATAGGCCCAAGAAGGGAAACCAAAGTGGGGCCTGTAGAGCTTCCTAAATTGAGGAAAGAAAGTTGGGAACCAGAGGGAAAAAGGTGGATGGAGTTAACAGGACAAAGCAACAGAAAAAAGAGTAACACACAGAGAAAGAACTTAAGAGCCCTACAGAAGCATCCTTCAAATTTCGGCTGAGTAATGACTGAACACTGATCATACATATGAAGAAACTACCCTAGGCAAAAGAATCAGAGAAAAATTAAAGTATTTCTCAGACTCATAGAGGGCTAGAAGTAGTACCAGTTTCCATCAGCCAGACTGGAAAATCTTATAGTTAATGGGATATCAGATAGAGTATTATGCAAAGTCTTACCTCATTAATGGGACAAATTTGATCCTAGATGAAATGCCTCACTGTAATCACTTGTTATGTCATCACACATAACAAGTCATAAAACCAAGTCTCCAAAATATCAAATTGCTTTTCAATAATGTATCAACATCCCAACCAGCCCTGGCCAGATAACTCAGTTGGTTAGAGCACTGTCCTGATAAGCTAAGATTGTGGGTTCAATCTCCACTAATAGCACATACAAGAAGCAACCAATGAATGCATAAACAATTGGAACAGCAAAGTGATCTCTCTCTCTCTCTCTCTCTTTCTGTCTCTCAAATCAATAAATAAAAAATTAAAATAAAGTTTTTAATTTACTACCCAAAGCAATCTACAGATTCAATGAAATTCTTTATCAAGATACCAATGGTATAGTTCATAGAACTAGAACAAATATTCCAAAAATTTATATGGAGCCACAAAAGACGCCAAAGAGCAACAACGATCTTGAGAAAGAAGAACAAAGTTGAGGAATCATGCTACCTAATATCAAAATTTACTACAAGACCATTGTTATCAAAACAACATGGTATTGGCATAAAAACAGACATACAAATCAATGGAACAGAATCGAAAGCCCAGAAGTAAATCCATGTCTTTATAATAAATTAATATTTGGGGTGAAATAACATACAAGGGTTTAAATATAGTTCATTCAGTAAAAGGTGTTGGGGAAATTATACAGATATGTGCAAAAAAACAAATGAAACTAGACCTCCTTCTTATGCCACACACCGGAATAAATTCAAAATGGATTAAAGATTTAAATGTTAGAATTGAAACCATAAAACTTCTAGAATGTAAAATACACAGGTAGTAAAATATTGGACTTTTCTCATAGCAATATTTTTTTCTGATATATCTCCTCAGACAAGGAAAAGAAAAGAAAAAGTAAAGAAACTGGACTAAATTAAACTAAAAATTTTTTGTACAACCAAGGCAACTATCAACAAAATTAAAAGACAGCTCACAGAATGGGAGAACATGGTCACTGATACATCTGATAAGGTGTTGCTATCCAAAATTTATAAAGAATTTTTAAAACTCAAAACCAAAATAAATAAATAAATAAATAAAACAGACTAATTAAAAAATGGGCAAAGGACCTGAGCAGATACTTCTCCAAAGGAGGACATAGCGATGGCTCATAGACATATGAAAGGATGCTCAACACCACTAATCATGAGGGAGATGCAAATTAAAACCACAATGAGATATCATCTCACACCTGTCAGAATGGCAATCATCAAAAAATCAACAAACAACAACTATTGGTGAAGATGTGGAAAAAAAGGAATGCTCATGCACTGTTGGTGGAAAGCAGATTGGTGCAGCCACTGTGGGAAGCAGTATGAAGTTACTTCAAAAAATTAATAACCAGAGACACTGAAATTAAGAACAAACTGACAGTAACCATAGGGGACTAGGGAGGGGATAATGGGGGGAAGGGGGAAGGGTTTCAGGAACATCTATAAAGGACACATGGACAAAACCAAGGTGGGGTAGGATCAGGAGTTGGAGGTGGGGATGGTTGGGGTGTGGGTGAGTGATGGGGGAAAATGAAGACAACTGTACTTGAACAATAAAAAGTTTTAAAAATTAAATTGTAAATAAATAAAATGGCAAAAAAATTAAATGGACTACCTTAAGACCCAGCAATTCCATTCTGGAAATATATTTGGAGAAACCCAAAATAGTAATTTCAAAGAATATATGCAACCCTGTGTTTACTGCAGAATTATTTACAACAGACAAGCTTTAGAAGCAACTCAAGTGCCCATCAGTAGACAAGTAGATAAAAGATTGTGGTACATATATACAATGGAATATTACTCAGCTCTAAAAAAGAATGCAACCTTACTATTTGCAACAGCATAGTGGCCCTAGAGGGTATTATGCTAAATGAAGTCAGTCAGAGAAAGACAGGTACCATGTTATTTCATTCATATGTGGAATCTAATGAAAAAAGTGCACTAACAAGCAAAATAGAGACAGACTCATAGATAGAACAGGCTGACAGCTCTGGAGCAAGGTTTAGGGGGTGGAAGGGGCAAGCAAAAAAGAAAAAAGAGAAAGAACTCTGGGACATTGACAACAATGTGGTGACTGAGGGGCACTGGTGGAGTAGAAGAGGGTATAGGGTGGATAAGTGGTAATGGAAAAAAAACAATAAATATAATGTAAAACAAAGAAAGCTCCAGTAACTATATTAATATAAGAATAACAGACTTCAGAGCAAAAATTATTACCAATATAAAGAAAGTCATTTCATAATGTCAAAGGTGTAAATTCAACAAGATGACATTACAATGCTCAATTTTATGTATCTAATAACAGCTGCAAAATAGATAAAGAAAAAATGATAGAAATTTAAGGAGAAAAATTAAATCCACAAGTAGTTTTG